TTTTTATCTCTTACTTTAGCCTTTGCTTTAAAGTCTTTTTGTCAGATATAAGTATTGCTACCCCAGCTATTTTTCATTTCCATTTGATTGAATTATCTTTTCCCTGTTTACTTTCAGGCTGCGTGTATCTTTCATTCTCAGGTGGGTCTCTAGTAAACAGCATATATGTGGGTCTTGTTTTCTTATCCAATCAGCTACTGATGCCTTTTAATTGGAGCATTTAAGCCATTTACATTTAAAGTGATTATTGATAGGTATGGATTTGCCATGTGATTGTTTTAACTATTTAACTATATTCTGGTTTTCTCTTCCTCCTCCACTTCTTCATCCTCCTTATCTCCTCTTTCTTCTTCTTAAAGAACACCCTTTAACATATCTGGTAATATTGGGTTGGTATTAACAAAACCCCTTCCGTTTTTTTTTTTTAGCCTGGGAAGCTTTTTATTTCTCCTTGAATTTTAAATATCCTTGCTGGGTAAAGTAGTCTTGATTGTAGGTCCTTGCTTTTCATCACTTTGAATATTTCATTCCAATCCCTTCTGGCTTGAAAGGCTTTGTTACAAAGTCAGCTGACAGTCTTGAGGGCTCCCTGGTAGGTAACTGTCTTTCTCTTGCTACTTTTAAGATTCTCTCTTTGTGTTTAACCTTTGCCATTTTAATTATGTGTCTTGGTGTGGGCCTCTTTGGCTTTATTTTGGGGGTAATTTCTGCACTTCCTGAAATTGTATGTCTTTTTCCTTCACCATGTCACGAGAGTTTTTAGTCATTTTTTTAAAAAAATAGATTCTGAATCCACTGCTTTCTCTCTTCTTCTTCTGGTGTCCTGATGATTGGATGTTGTTACATTTCATGTGTCCTAAAGGTCCCTTAAACTATTCTCATTTTCTGAAATTCTTTGTTTCTTTTCGCTGCTCTCATTCGATCTTCTGTTTCTTCCAACCTACTGTTTATTCTGTCTAGTGTATCTTTTATTTCAAATATTGTGTTATTTATTTCTGACTGGTTCTTTTTATGTTTTTTCCATCCAACCTACTGTTTATTTTTTTCTAGTGCATTCTTTATTTCATATATCATATACTTTATTTCTGACCCTTCTTTTTTTACAGTTTCTATGTCTTCATGCTGTTGTAGTTCTCACTGAGTTCCTTGAGCATCCTTATAACCATTTTTTTAACCCTATGTCTGGTAGATTGTTTGTCTCCATTTCATTTACCTCTATTTTGGGAGATTTCTCCTGTTCTTTCATTTGGGGCATGTTTCTTTGTCTCCCCATTTTGGACACCTTTTTGTGTTTGTTTTTTGTGTCTTAGGTAGATCTGCTATGACTTCCAGTCTTGGTAGGGTGGCCTTATGTCATAGGTGTCCTAGGGGACCCAGTGACACAATTTCCTTGATCACCTGAGCTCAGTGCTCCAGGAATGTCTCTTGTGTGAGTTATGTGGACCCTCCTATTATAATTGATTATTGATTACTACTGGCCAATTAGTGTGTCAACTTTCAGTCTGGCTGACTGTGAGTATCAACCCCAAGCACAGTGTACGAGCCGCTGTTCAGGTGCTAACTGCACAAAGCAGAATTCACCTCAGCAGTGTCTAGTGCCTGTGAAGGTCTCCTTTTGGATGTGCTGCTTGTGGAACTAATTGAATCTTGCTCTGATGTCGTCCGAATCTTGCTGCTGAGTTGTTGTTTCTGGGGCCTCTTGGAAGGGACTCTGGTGCAAGCCAATGTCAGACACTGCTTGCGACTGGCCCTGGTCAACCTGTTGGGAGCTACAAAGTAATCCACAGTTTGTGGCTGCCTCTGCTAGGCCTGAGTTTGTGCGGGAAGGACCATGCTACACACCAAGGCTGGCTTTTACCAGCACCAGGCCTCCAAGCAGGTCAGCTAAATTCCTGAGACACCCCAAGACCTGCCTCCACCTGCTGGCTTCCTGTTAGCCTCAGTCACTGAAAGAGCCTCTGGCGGTATTTGAGTTGCATGAGGTATGTTCTCAGTGAATCCCCAGGGAAAAGCAAGTGGTGTTCAGTAAATTGATATAGATTCAAATTCGGTGCCTGTGCTGGGTCTGATGCCACTCAGCTAGTGCCCCAGCATGTACCAGTCTAGCTGGCACCTTTGCTGAGTGCTTGCACGCCTTTGTGGTAGGCTATAGTGTCAAGGAGTCGTCAAGGAGTCATCAAGGTTAGGCCAGCAGAGTTTATCAGGACCAAACAAACCAAGATTTGGCCGTGTGAAAAGAGGACTCTGTACCTGTCATGTGTGCTAGGGAAAAATGGCCTGCACCCTAGAGCTACATAACTCAGTCTGTCCCAGATTCTTCTAGGAGGCTGATTTCAGTAGGACAGGGCTGCCAGGAGTTGGGAGGATGACGCTAGTGGATCTCTTGTCAGGGGGAGGTGCTGGTCAGGCTTGGGGGAAGGTGGGGACATGGCCGCTGCCCCAGAGCCACACAACTCAGTCTGTCTCAGATTCTACTCAAACCTTGGCAGGACAGAGCCACCAGGAGTCAGGAGGGTGGAACTGCCAAAGCCTAGAGAGTGTGGCTAGTGGATCTCCCATGAGTGGGAGGTGCCGGTCAAGTTCATGGGAAAATCAGAGAAATGTGTCTTACCCAAAAGCTACACCATTCAGTCACTGACACCCCCTGAGCCTGCCAGACCTTTATACCCAGGTGGCTTAGTCCTCAGCAGGGTGCAAGCTCTTCAGAGTCGGGCAACGGAAAGTCCAGAGGCTATTGTATGTCCCTAGGTTGTTATGAGGCCAGCCCTTGATGTACCTCTGCCCTTCCTACCACTCTTGATGTGGCTTCTTCTGTAAGTGCTTGGCTTTAAGACTTCCCGTCAGCTGCGCTAGTTGGTTATTCAGGTTGATTGCTCTGTGTTTTCGTTGTAATTCCAGTTTGGCTGGGAGGGAGTGAGTATAGCTTCCACCCAGTCTGCCACCGTCTTTGATCCTCTTAAATATGTTTTTTAAATCAAAATAGCTGATGTGTTTTTGTTACAAGCTACCAAACTTTGAACAGTACTACTTTCTCTGTGATGTTTCTCTACTATTTTTAATTTGAAAAAAAAAACCAAAAAAACAAAAATTTTACAATGAGGACTCAAGATATTTAGCAAATCAAGTTATTTTATTTCTCTGTCTTAAGATAACTAATATGATCCCAGCTACTGAAAAACAGTTACACTATATTTAATTATGCTATTATTTCAGAAATAAAGGACCTTCTTCTTTATCACTAATCTAACATTTTTTTCTCCCTTGAAACAAAAAGTTCTCAAGTTTGAACATGAAAGTACTGTTTATATAAATGGTGGAGGGTGTTTGGTGAGACTTCACCTTATTACAACACCACATTATAGAGCAAGATCAAACAGTTTAAACTCCCACGTCAACACTTTCCTGTTGAGTAGAAACACAAATAATATTTCTAAATAAAAATCTGAGAAAAATTCTGTACTTATTACTTTGTACTTGATAATGATTTCATATGGCAATATTACAGAAAATAAAACTTAGATCTGATTCCAGAGCATAAATATTATTTTGCAATTCCCGACAAAGAATATGTAGTTCAGCCAAGCGATGTTTAGTGCTTTGCAGTTTATAAGTTGGTCTGGCTAAACCATAGAAATTTAGTCCAGATCACTATTTCTTGACAAACCCTCCCTTAGCAGCCATTCCCCAAGGTATATCCATCAACCCAACTCCACACAGACCATAGAGCTCAGAAATCTGGGGACACCAGGTGACATATGGGCAGTCCGTCATTGGGACTGTTTTAGACTCCAGGCTTAATTCAAACAGTTGGTAGACAAGAAGCCAGAATCAAAAAACGCTTTTGCATGATCATTATAATGAAACATTTACGCATAAATATGAAAAGCTTGTACAGACTTGAGTGTGTGATGAGACAGTTAGCTACAGATCACGGGCCCTAGTCCTTGTTCAACAGTGAGGACTAAGCAAACCCATCAGGTCTCACTGATGATTTGCCTTTTGCAGGGTTTTGCTAACAAGTCATTTCATGCAGAGCTAATTTTTTAAAAGATTTTATTTATTTATTTTTAGAGAGGGAAGGGAGGGAGAGAGAGGGAGAGAGAAACATCAATGTGCAGTTGCTGGGGGCCATGGCCTGCAACTCAGGCATGTACCCTGACTGGGAATCGAACCTGCGACACTTTGGTTCTCAGCCCGCGCTCAATCCACTGAGCTACACCAGCTAGGGCTGATTTCTATTCCCCAAACATGTCCTTATTGCTATTTATTTTTCTCCACTTCCCTTATCAATATACCCTATCAGTTCCAACAGGATTAGAGGGAAAAAGACAACTGAATCACTTGCAGAATTTCTGCATACTTTTCAAATAACATTATATTAATTCATGGGTATTCTGAATTCCTACTTACATCACTCCTTTCAAAGACTCCACTTGAAGCAATTATTCTGCTTAATGTTTAGTACAGCGATCTTTGGGTGTATTCTGATATGAGGACTATACAGTTTCTTGTGTGTTGGCGAGTAGACCTAAGACGTAAGGGTGGCCCACTGTGGTTCTGCTCAATTAGGAACTTCCACATTCTTTGTTTCCCACTTTAGACAACATAGGGCTTGCTGGCATATGAAACCATCAGCATTTGATACGCATGTTAATTTTTTTCCCAGAGAGCTACTCTCTGCCAAAGTTTTTACCTGGCTCCATAAAGAGAGTTACCCAGAAGTCACATAATAGTGCAAGGTAAATTTGTATTCTTGCTAGGGAGTTCTCTGGTACCTCAACAATGAATAGAAATTGTCAAAAACAGTTTTTAGTTTTTTGTTTGTTTAATTCAACTTCCGAAGGAGAAGAGTTTCCAAAGTTATATACCGTTTAAAAAGATAACATCAAGATGTAGGTAGCTGGATTGACTCTTCGGAATTTCTCTGAACCCAAAGTTATTTAATTGAGATCTTTTGAAAAAAAACGTTATTTACTGTATCTGCTCTTATTTCTTTTTAGGTCAGTCTCGATTCTCGAGTTAGAGAGGTGATCAATAGAAATCTTCTGGATCCCGATCCTCACATGTATGAAGATGCCCAGCTTCAGATATATACCTTAATGCACAGAGATTCTTTTCCACGGTTTTTGAACTCTCAAATTTACAAGTCATTTCTTGAAAGTACTGCCGGCTCTACTTCTGAATCTTAATTTTCGTTTTCAAATGTCTCTGGGGAGGGCTGGGATGGGAAATAAACGTAGTTAAATGAACACCAGAAGCTGAGTTCCTGGAGAACTCCAGTCTAGCATTCCTCAGGCTACTGTGAAAATACAACCAGGTGGTCTTTGTCTCCATCTTTACCAAGGTCATCCATGGTTAAGTTTGGACAAAATACCACGTAAAACAATGAATTGCCAAATTAAGTTCATTTCCTTGAACACTCACTCTGCTTGCAAGCAAACTGTATTCGTAGTCCCACCAACAGTCTCCTAGTGTATCTCCAGAGACTGCATGTGCAAAGTAAAACTGCTTCATTTGCCACATCGTTGTTGTAGTATTTAATCCAATGGCATAACTTATATCTGTATTTAAGGACTTTTGTGCAATATGGTCTTACAGAAATCGATGCCAAAAAGTCGGCCGTGGTTTGCATTTTTAAATATAATCCAAGACAGAAAAAGCCAATTTTTAAATTGTAACAGTGGTATTCCACCTGCTACATACTGTGTTCAGTACACTAACTTCGAATCCAGTGTTTCTGACCATGGGAAAAAAAGAGCTATTTGTCTCTGTTCGTTGGGAAATCCTAATGGGGGATTCCTCTGGTGGTTCCCTGCCAACGCTGTGGCATTTTCATCACAGAAGGGTTGGTTGTGTAAAAAAATAATAACGTGAAAAGAGAAAAAAAGCACAAAATAATTTGGAGACATTCTCTCTCGACAAATCAGAATGATATTGTTTTTCATTGTAACAGAAGAAAACGAATCTATGTATATATCACGTGTCCAATACTGTAATTAATTTATTAAAGACTGGCTCTCCAGTTCTAAAACAGTTGTGTTATGTATGTACTTTAGCAAGAAAAAAACAATAAGCTTGATAACTTAGTTTTGGAATATAAAGAAAGGACTTAGAGTACCTACATGTAGCATCATAAAAATTTTTTGATGAAAAGCGTCTGTCCCTGTGGCATATTTTCTTTGAAAGTAAAATCCAATGGGAAGCTAAGTCTTAAGTCAAGAACAGTTTTATAAGGGTTATGAAGAGGAAAATTCTCTACTTCAGACCCTGTTTTCACATAATATCTTAAGATTACTTATTTTAAAAATGTCAAAACCAAACTATTAATTCTCATCCGTGATTGAAAGGCAGTGCAGTACTCAAATCTCCTAGCTGCCATATTATTTTTTAAAGTTTCACTGAGTCTTTAAGACAACAGAGGTGCCTGATGTTGGCACGTACTTTTGACATTCAAGAAAACAGTATCTTCTTGTGCCCCCCCCCCGCCAAAAAAAGTCAGTGTCATATCTATATCTAGGTGTTACCTTTGAATATTAATATCCCCTGGAGGCTATTTTTTTAATCTTAAACTTATTAAATATTGAGTAACCTAAAAGAAAAGTTTTAAAACTATTTATAGAGAACACTGGCCTTATATTAAGGATGATATTAAAATAGGCTTTCTTTGTCATTTTTAACTACCTCTCATTTTTTAATTTATTGAACATAAAAAAACGAGTTTGGGTTTTCTTCTTAAAATTTATTTTACTTGAAAAGTTAACATCATAAGTTTCCTTTTTCCATAAACTTAAAGCATTTTAAGCATTGTTTTTTTAAGTAAATTTGATTTTCTAATTTATATAGAATTCAGGAGATATGTTTAAAAGGGCTATTATCTATTCCCTATGCAAATATTTTAACTGTTGCAGTGTTTGACAAAATGGGATTTAAAAAAAAAGTTTGCAGAGTAGAAAACAAAAATGTTCTGTTTACACTGGCGTTGCTGACTATCCTACCATATTCAGCACTTTTAAATACATTATTTATGAAAATGTACTTAAAATACAAGATAGAAAATATTTATAATAATCATTTCTTTTAACAAATGCTAGTTTTTGTCTGAAAGTGTTAGTGTGTTAAGACATACTTTATCCATGTCAATTGGGTATTTGCTATTTCAATAATAGTTTTCAGTAATATGTTGAAAAAGACAACTATGAAGATGTTTACAAAAAGTCATATTTTTTTCTTAAAGAGTGAAGAAAAACCTAAAAGAATCATCACATCTATTGTGAAGTTCTATTGTTCCTGAACTATTTAGTTTTTGGGTTAGAATTGAGTTTACTATGCTACTATGATGTGTACACATGTGTGTTGTAATACCCTCCTCGTTGCTGTGTTTGAAGCACAATAAACTGGTGCACATGAATAGAAAGTGTGTAATATACTATGATACACTGCATGCATCGGCCTTTTAAAATGTAGGCTTTGTATCCTTTTTGTTACTATACATGATGGTGACCTGCTAGTCGTAAGTTATCTTTATAAGATACTTTGGACTATTAGATGAATTGTCTGTTTGACAATACTTTTAATGTTTTACCAAATATTTAAAAGATAAGGGCCCTTGTAAAGAGTCCTGATCCCTAATGTGGGCATTTGTAAAATGCAGATTTTGAAGTTAGTATATCCGCTTGAAGCCTGATTAGGAAGTTGTGTTGAGAATGATTCTAGATAGATTTACGCATCAGATGTTGCTGACCACGCTGTGTGAGCATTTCTGTGCTAAATTCCTATTTTGGGGGGTGGGAGGGAAGGGTTCCTCATTTAATTTCAAAATGTTTAAAGTTTCTACCTAAGAGTATGTCTGTATATTTGCAACTCTACAAATTTTTAAAGTATAGTATAACTCCTTCTGTTTTAATTACAAAGCTATAATAAACAAAAATAAATGCCCTCAAATGGTGTCTATGCTACCATTCCAAGAGCACAATATTTGTTTGGGTAGGATTAGATTTTTTCCTAGTGAGTAAATTTCTCCCTGAGGAAAAATTAGCACTTTAGAAGGTACACTTGTGTTTTAGATTGCCAAGATATCTTTGTATACTGTTAGAATCTGCTAACGCACACAGAAAGAGGTTCATGCTCTTTCTGTAGCGCCTAACTTCAGATGTATCTATAATGGAAAGAAAAGTAGAGGATATAGATTATATATAAATATATATCAATACACTGGAGAGCCAGATTTCTTCAGAGATAGATCTTGTACGTAGATCACACTGACAGTGATGGATGACATTGCTTCTTCACTCTGGACACCTGTTACTATGTTATCCGAAGGTGACATAGAAACCCTGACAGTGTTACAGGGCAAACAACGCACAGTGGGTGTACTAGCCTATGAACAACGACAGCAGAACACAGTTTTGATGTCATGTTACTAAGTGCAAAAATCAAGACCAGAATGTGGTCTTTTTTTAAATCCTAAAATATGTACATAGGATGACCAGGTCTGATATTTGGTCATGGTGCATGGGGTGTTTAATAGTAAGTATCCTTTAATGCTACCTAGGTTCTTACAGAATGAAATGTGTATCATATTTTTACGTAAGAATTCAATTTTGCAAAAGGACTATAGAAATAGGTAAATAATGTTTATGTATTAGGGGCAAAAATGCATTTTCACCCCATTAAGCGGATTTAAAATAATACCTAAGTCTTAATTTTGAAAAAAAATTATCTATTTTTCCTATACATTTTTAACTTACATTAAAAAATAAAGTAATCGTGACAAATTACATCTGCAAAAATTACAATATATCAGACATACCAAGGAAAAATATACAATAAAATAATGAGAAAATAAAATAATCCTTTTGAAGGCCACCTAAGTTTCCTAGATCTAAAATGCCTATATGAATTTTGAAAAATCTGCAATGCCTGCCTTGGCAAATTAGTGTGAAAGGTGGTTAAGCTATTTCTAGAAAATTTTCTGACCTGTGTATTTGTAGTGACAGTTACAACAGTTAATTATCAAAGTATACTTTTACTAAGGATGATATTTGCGTGCTGTTTTCAGTTCTTTATAAATTTCTGACCAATATAAAATGTTTGGTCTCCTGAAAAGAATAGTCTTACATCTGTAAAAGATTTAGCTATTCCACCCTTGCTACAACTGCAAATATTTATCAATAAAACTGATACCGCCCTGACCGGTGTGGCTCAGCTGGTTAAGCAGAGTCCCACAAAGTGAAAGGTCACCAGTGTGATTGCCGGTTCAGGGCACATGCCACATGCCAGGGCTACAACCCCGTCCCTGGCTGGGGAGTGTGCAAAAGGCAGCCAATCGCTGTTCCTCTCCCCCTTTTTCTCTCTCCCTTACCCTCTCTCTAAAAAAATAAATAAAATCTTCAAAAAAATAAAAAAGGAACCTGATACCAAAAACTTGCTTCAGATCTTCCCTGAAACACTCTTAATAGTATCCTTGCAACACAAACAGATTAAGTTTTATTTCCAAATATGAGGCTTTCGTTATAAATTTGATTTCACGTTACATTCCTGTCTTACGTGATTTTGGGCAAATCATTTACCCTGAGCATGTTTTCTCATCTCCAGATGAGGAATATACTTAATTTACAGGATGGCCATAAGGAAGAAATGAAATAAACATAAAAAGAATAAAGTGTTATGAACTATTATTTTAACAAAGTTCTCCAGCTGAGCGATAATTTCCATTTTTCAAGAATGTATTAAATGCCATTTTAATGCACTTTTCTTATCTTTTCAAACCATACTTTAGAAATGTGATTTAATTATTCTTCCAGAAAATATAACTGAGCTTATTTTCAGATGAAGGAATATATGAATGTCATTGCTTTGTTTAATACTGTGATTCAAAATCCCTGTTTCCAGTTCACCGGCATCACCCTCAATCTACAATCAAGAAAAGAAATCACACATATACACATGAAGATATATATAGTTAGATGTGTGTATACACGTGTGTATAATATTGTATTATAGGTTTAAGTCAAAGTTTAAATAAGAGACAATATTTAAAATTTTTATTTCCTTTGGAAATAAAATAACATTCCCAAGAACAGGAAGCATATAAATATCAAGTAATTTGCCAAATAAATATGTGGGGGTAGAACCAAAGGTAAAGTATAAGACTGGCCTCTACAAAACATTGATACTGACATGGAATTGAAAGCATTCTTAATATTAGAGTAGTAAGATTTTTTAAATAATTTTACTGTGAGAATAGAATAAAAGACATTTGTTTATTCATAACATGTTTCATTAACATTTTACTTTTGAATTGTTTCAGACTTACAGAAAAATTGCAAAGATAGTGCAGAGAAGTTCCATGCACAGCACACCCATGAGATGCCTGTCACGTAATGAGCCAGTATCAGTGCATTAGGTGTACACTTCATCCACATTCCCTTAGTTTTTAACATTTTTTGTTCTGGGATCTCATTCAAGATACCACATTACAATTAGTCATCATGCGTCTTTAGGCAACTCTTATCTGTAACAGTTTCTCCAGCTTTTCTTGCTTTTAATGACTTTGACAGATTTAAGGGGTACTGGTCTAGTATTTTGCAAAATGTCCCTCAATTAGAATTTGTCTGATGTTTTTTCCCAGGACTAGACATGTGTTAGCAGTTTTTGGAAGGAAGACCCCTGAAGAAAAGTGCCATTTATATCATATATCAAAGGTGCATAGCATAATCATGACTCATCATCAGTGGTACTGACTTTGATCATCTGGTTGAAGTTGTGTTTGTTAGGCTTCTCTGCTGTAAAGTAACAGATTTTTGAGAGGTTGTGTTGCACATAAATTTGATGGACATTACACTGGGCTCAAAAAATTACGAGCAGATCCTCAGCACTGCTATTAGGTTCCATTAAGTAATTGCTAACAAGTACTATGAAGAAAATACAATGAACTGAAAAGTAAAATGGGAAAATTCCAAAACAGCGTTAGCTTGAATATTCATTTAATGGAGGTGAAAGTGAATTTTTTTTCCTTTCAAATAGTAAAATTACCTTAATCCTCTACATCTCTTTGGTAGTAAAGATTTTAGTCTTAACTAATTGTCATAACAGGCAATTTAAACTGATAATCATTTTGCTGAGTGTTTTTCTATACTGACCTCTGATGAACAATAAACATTGAATATTGAGATTATGTAAGAGACTTGATTTTTTTAACCCTTGCTTTGACCTATTTGTCATAAACACAGTGTTTCTTGTATATGATTTTAGGATGTTCATTAAATATGAAAAATAATTTCAATGTGTTTAGTTCTGTAAAATGTATCATATTGAACATGTATAATTTTTTACTACCATGTTCATTGTACTTAATAATATATATCCTTATTTTGGACTCCACCAATATTTATTAGTGAACCATAAAGAAACTTTGAATGCATGTATACAACTTAAGAGATACCATGCTTAGTTATTTTGCAATGCCAGAATAACTGTAGGTACCTGTAAACTGATTAGATAATCCAGATTATGTTTCCTCCTATTTAAATTGTCTTGGGTTTTGGTTCCCCCTTCCTTGAGTCTATTTTATTATTTTATTTGTGTACAATAGACTTCTTGAAAATGCTAGAATTTTCAACATGTAATAGAATCTGAGCATGACAATAATGTAAGAAAACTCAGAAGTGTCGAACTATGTATATTTCTTGGAGTTTTCAAAGTAAATCAAATTACAGCTGTTTTCATTTGACTATGTTGTATAAACCTATGGATAATATTGTACAATGCACATGCATTACTCTGACTTTTTAAAAATGTTTTGAATTAATAAAGAATCCACCAATATATCCTTAGATAAGTTACTGTTTCCTCATTGATATAACACTATAGGAGCAAAAGGTACACTTATTTATATTATTTACATTGCTTATGCATCTGAGGGAAAATAATTTCTGGCTGGATTCTTTACATTGTTCTGTAAGATTATTATTTGTTACATTTTTGCACCTTTTATGAATAATAAAGTATATTCTTGAAATGACTTGTTTTGAGAATTCAGCTGAGAGATTTATCATGTTGAGTCCAAGTGACTCCCACTATTTCTGTAGTTAAAAAATAATTCAAGCCCTGGCTGGTGTAGCTCAGTGGATTGAGCGCAGGCTGTGAACCAAAGTGTCGCAGGTTTGATTCCCAGTCGGGGTACATACCTGGGTTGCAGGTCATGACCCCCAGCAACTGCACATTGATGTTTCTCTCTCTCTTTCTCCCTCCATTCCCTCTCTAAAAATAAATAAATAAAATCTTAAAAAAATAATTCAAAGTTTTGACTTGGGAAATAACTGTTGCTAATCCAGTTATAAACAACTTGATCAGTCCTGATTTATATCGGATCTCAATGAAAATGGGTTTCAACCACTACCATAAAGGAAAACAATGTTATGAAGTAATGTGGATTGAATACACGTTCAAACCGAGAGCAAGAATTAAGGTAATTCGTTGGAACTTTTAAGTAGGAAAACCTGTATTTGCTTTGTATTTGAAAAGGCGTCTCATAGAGCGAAGGAGTGAATAAAGGCCACGCAAGCTCATTTTGTAAGAACTTTATACTTAATTTCAATTGTTTTGATTAGACTTAAGGATGACTTGACCTTGTGAAGGACATATTTTACCTTCCCCATCTTAAAAAATAAATTACAGCCCTTTTCAGTATGTCAGCTCTCTCCACAGCGAAGACACCATTAGCAGCCCCTGCTCGAATCAGATGGCGGGAGTTCCCAAACTGAGTGTTCGGCCCTTGCACCCCCCAGGTCTGTCTTGGTCTTTTGAATGATGCAAAGCATTGTATCGATAAACTTCAGTATGTTTGGCTCCAATCGGCTAACTACAGTTTTAGGGGGAAGGTTGGGCGTTGGGCTGCTGGGGTCAAGGCTCTGAAGGCTTTGCTCCCCAGTAGTTTATTGAAACAAGGCTTCATTTAACCTCCTTTAAAAGGAGCTAAGGGTGACAAAGAGTGTGAATGGACCGGCAGGAGACTAGGTAAGCAGAGAAATCATCTGGGAGCAAGTAAGTTGCACGGCAGCTAAAGGACAGGAAACCAGATTTTGCGACATCACTGGTAGGTTGTCTCCGAGGACACTTGCCATGTCCCAACTGGCACGAGCCTTATCCACCAACGAAAAAAGTATCGCTCTCAACCTATTGCCAAACAGCTCGCTCTCGGAAACAAACGGTCAGGCTGGCACCGCCACTTCCTCGGTGGTGACCTGAGCCCCTGGGGCTAACAACAGACTGCCCTCCAGGGCGACACTAGATCTTCCTGCAGGGCTTGGGAAACAAATCCTCGACGTCAGACAGCGGAGTGACAGCTCGCGGCTTTCCTTTTCCTGCCCACACACCAGCCTGACTCGTTCGTGGGGACGTTCGCGCCACCGTTTAAAGAAGGTGCTCAAAGTCTCCCGGACCCTCCCCTACCAATTCCGCTCTGAGCCCTCAACTTCCGGCCTCTGCGGCCGCGGTCTTTAAATATTTGGCCGGAAATTCCCACAGAGGCTTCCGGGAGGCCCTTTAAAACCGGCGCCTCTGCTGGGCGGGGCTCGATCGGCTCCCGCCCCTAGTTCCAAATCCCGCACAGTGTCGCGAGACTCGCTTTTTTCGAAACTTCGGGCTTGGGTCTGCCGGGGCTGTCAGGGCTTAGCGATGCGGTACCCTGTCCTGTTGAGTGTGGCTCGGTGTCTTTGGGCCCGCCCAGCTGTCGCCCCGGCCCGCCGGCACCTCAGCTGCCGTAGCCCACCGCTGGAGGAGCTGTTCTCCCGCGGCGGGCCCTTGCGGTCCTTCCTGGAGCGCCAGGCAGCGTCCGAATCCCAGTTGCAGGTCAGGGGGCCTGAGCTGGTGGCCGTAGCCAAACGGTTGAGCGAGAAGGAGCAGGAGCTGCAGGAGACCGAGGACTTGCTGCACGGTAGGGGCCGGGCCCAGGGAATCGGGACTCAAAGCAGATTCCTGACAACTCGGTTGCCTTTCGCACTAAGCTGCTTAGTTGCAGCCCGTTTTGGTTTGGATCAGAGGTCAAAGCATCATTATGTGCTGTTTTTGTTTGTTTGTTTGTTTAAACGAAGGCCAGATCTCCTTATTGCTTCTCAGCCCCTTATTCCCGTTTCCCTGCCCCCCCCCCCCCCCACAGTACTGCTAGGAACCATGCTCAGATTCCAGGCTCAAGGGTTCTTTTTGAATACTGACGGGGTAGGCTCCCCGACCTCGAGGCCAGGTTGGAAGAACCTGGTGTCCAACTCCTGGAGTGCCCCCAGGGAGCCCCATCTCTCCGATTTGAGTCTTTGATACGGTGCCCTGCCCCCTTTTGCAGTATTTAGTGTGACGTTTATTGGTTGAGTACTCTGGCGCCATCTCTGGGGCTCCAGAGCAGTGTCTCTCAAAGTGTGGTGAAAGGATCACCTTCAGTGGTGTTAAGAGAGGTGGGTGCTAACGCCAGACGTATGACTCGGAATCTGAGGTCTGGACATAGTGTTTTTAAAAGTTTCCCAAGTGACTAGTATGCATTCAGATCTGATTGGGCCTAAGTTTTTGCATCTGTCAGCTCCTAGGGACGCTGAGCTTTGGGACGAGCGGCGGGGCCGGGGGAGGGGGGGGGGTGGCGGGCACAATCTGTTTCGGGAAAGACAATGAATTATAATACAGCCAAAAAGTGAGAACAGATATGTAAATAGACCTAGGAGAGCAAGGAAAACTCGTTGGGGAGGACTTATGCGAAAATAAAGGGCCACCCTTAGAGGCTATAGTAACAGTTTAACCTTTCATCCTTTACCATACCCCACCCAGCCTTTGCTGAGCTTTCTTTAGGTATTAACTCATACAGTTTATAAAACTATTTAGTAGGTACTCTTAGCCTCCTGTGACGGAAGAGGAACCTGAAGCGGACAGGTAAAATAACGACTCAGGTTACACAGCTTTTAAGGAACGGAGTTTGGATGGGGCGACTCCAGATCTCATGCTTTTAATCGCTATACTCTTTGTTAACCAAGGGAGAGGAGAGGTTATGGAAAGTAGCAGGTGGCAACATTTTGTACAGGGGAGGGGGAAGAATATCTTAAACACTAATCTTAAAATGGTTGATTTTTATCCGGTTGGCAGAAGGAGCCAGCAGAAGCTTTTAGCTTGGGGTGTGAATGTCCAAAATAGCTTTGATGCTTAGAAAGCTGGGTTTGTGGTGGTTAGAAGTCAACCCAAGATGCAAACGAAGATGCCGTGGAAAACAGAAGGCTGGTGCAGTGGTCTAGGTGAGAGTTAAGGAGAGTCTGAAGTAAGTGATTTAAGAGAAAAGGCAAATGCCCCGAGTGTAAAAAAAAAAAAAAAAAAAGTATTAAGGATATTGGGGCAAATACCCTTCGGAGAAAAATCAAATTGGTTTCATAACTTAAGCCAAGCTTAAAATGCAAGAGGCTTAAAATCCAAGTGGATTTAAGAATTAAATAGTTTAAAAATCAAACCATAGAGAATTTAACACCATGTTAGAAAACTGTTGCTGGCAGCCCTGGCTGGGTAGCTCAGTTGTTTAGAGCATCCTCCGGATAGGCCAAGGTTTCTGGTTCTACCCCAGGTCAGGGTACATTCAGGAGTCAACCAATGAATGCACAAATAAGTGGAGCAACAACTCATTGTTTCTCTCTCTCTCTCTCCCTTACTCTTTCTGTCTCAAATCAATTTTTAAAAAATTGTTGCTGGCAGAATGCAGCTCAGCTTAAAAACAACAAAATATCAGCAACTCATGAGTTCTTACTGCATGTCAGATACTACCACCAATTCCCAAAAAAGTATGAAACTTTTACAACCTAGTGAAGAGAGAAAGAAGTTTAAAGAGTTAAGTAAAAATATAAATGATGTGTGTTTATGTTGTTTTAATTTCAGACTGTTACAAAAGTAAAGGCTGGCATTTAAATGGAGCTTAAAGGGTAAGCAGGAAGTTGCTGGCAAGTTGGTTTAGGAGAAGGGAATTGAAGGCACAGGTGACCAATAGGATAAAGGACTGAGTTGGGAGATAAAATATCTCAGGAACGTAGAGTAAGTGTGGGAGTTGTAATAACTTGAAAACAGAATAGTTAAGAACCTTGCATGCCAAAGGACCTGGATGTGTTCCTGTAGACCATCAGAAGTTAGCTTGTTTTTTAAGCAGAGAAGTGATACCTTTTTAAAGAACAATTAATGTTTGCATTGGTGTTGAGGATGAATTGGAATATTCTTCAGAGACCCTGGGGCTGAAATTTATCAACTATTTGTTTATTTAAGTTCCAGTAGTTCTAGACTGTAGTTCCAGCCTTCTTAGCCTTATCGAACACTGTGCCTTTCGGAGTTGAAAGGTGCCTTAGGGGTCACCCAGCTCAGATCTTTCGTTTTACCCGAGACTCAGTGAAGCTGGGTGTTCCCCGAGGAGAATCGTGGTGGCTGATCCAGGGTTAGAATTCATTTTTCCTTTTTCTCAGTCCACATATTTGACATTTCCCCCAGTTTCTTCAAAACCAAATTCTTGCCAAAATAATTTCCTGCCTTTCCACCATTAACTTTCTGTACCTGCTTATCTCAGTTTTGCTGTTGTCGTTATCTTTCCTTGAATTAATCCTTTTTTCCTTTTTCTACTCATCCCAAAAATAAACTAAAAAAAAAAATCTTCTGTGCTACCATTTTAATATTTAATCACATAGTGTTTTACATTGTTTTTCTTCCCTAGAAAAATATAAATGAACTACAATTATCTCAATTCTTGCCTTAGGTATTATTATCCCGTTTCCAGCATAATTGGGTCTTAATCATTGAACAGACTGATACTTGGAAGAGTTTGAGCTTTCAACAGAGAGTAATTTATAATAGCTTAAAAAAAAGAAAGTCGTCTTCTTATAGGTTCCTTGTGGTCCATGGGGTAGATTTTGAAAGGTAAAAATGAAATCTCAAACATGAAATAAGAATTAGAATAAAACCGGAGAGAGAGAGAACTTCATGTGAATATTCTGTAAACATTAGGTAGGGTCTAAATGTTTGAGTTGGATACTATATTAATGAAATATTTACTAATAAGATAAGAAATAACTTTCTACTTATTAATTCAGTTTTGGTTTAACTGATGGAAACTTCTGTTCCCCTTCCGATCTGCCTAGCTCAATTCATTCACTTGTTGTACACTAAGTTGGAACACTAAAAGCATATTTGTTAATGATGCGTGGGTCACCGGCCAGCAGTGATCACGGAACGCTGTGGATGACTCATCAAAACACAAGAAAAAAACAGTTTCTGTGGAAAAGTAGGGACGGAACGGCCACCCCCTCTAGTGGGGACCGCGCCGATTTACCGTCCAAACCAGCTTTTATTGGGTTCGTTTTGCATAAGAATTCAGGTAAAGCACATTACTCATTGCGAGGAAGTAAGGATCAAACGATAGGGAACAAGGACTCTGAGGGTCTATTTTGAATCAGGGTCAAAGAGCTGTAAGACTTTAAGGAACAAACTAACTTCCTCCTTGGACCCTTCTCATTCAACTGAGAGCATTCTAAACAAAGAAGGTTTCACAGTAATTTACATGTTCTTTCTTAGGCCTGATCACCCTGGGAATCCGCCCTTTCCAGCACAGGGCGGCACCACCCTGTCATTGTTTCAGGCTTAGGTGGAGCAAGGGAAGTAAGGCAGCCAAGAGATTAAGAGATTTTCTTGCAGAGCAGGAGGACTAGGGCTTTGTCAAAGCCAAAGGGCGAGAGTCCATCACCCCTTTTTGCCGTAGCCCCCAAAGTCCTTCTTTTGGGGGCCTCCCACATGATCGTGCCTGTCTTAGATCATTCCCCCCTTGGGGAATCTTACCTGTCACTGGCTAACCGACCAAGCATTGGGGGCCAGGCAGGGTGAGGTATGAAGGAGCAGAAGCGGCGCTCCTGCCAGGGAGATAAGCTTTTGTCTCCTTGCTGGCCCACGGTTCCAAGGGTGTTGCCTTAGCCTTAGCCTTAGCCTAGGCGGGGGTTGCAGCTTCTGATACCAGGCAGGGCGGTTCCCAACATGTTAATATGAATATTTCATGGAGGTGGAGTTACAGGAAAGTTTAATAGCTCTTTTATATTTTTATAGAGATTTTTTCTTTTTAATTTTATTTATGCTTTCTTTTGTCATCAGGAAAACTTTCTTTAAAGCTACATTGCTTGTGGAAACCAATACTATTTTTAAATAATGGAAGTTATTAAAAATATAAGAAAGACATTTTATTTTACCTTCAGCTACAATAACAAGAAAATTATTTCCTTGAATTTTGTTGGTAGTTTAATTGAGGAAAACTCAACCTATTGCCTTTATTTCTTAGATGAAAATGAAGACTTACGGAAACTTGCAGAAAATGAAATCATTTCGTGTCAAAAGGAAATAGCTCAATTAAAGCATCAGGTACAGTATTTGTGTAAAGAATAAAGCATTAATGCTATTATTTCTAATGAATTTTATTAGAGGTAAATAAAAACAATTGAAGACCTAGCTTGTTAGTATTTAGAACTATAAACTGTTTTTTAAAACAGGAAAAGCATACTGCCTGTGGCCCTGTTTTTATCATACTAAAGGAATTGTAGAGCTTTGGCACAGGGATGAATGTTACATTAACAGGATTTGCCAGAAGACGAGAAATACTGGTATTCTCTATCCCCTTTTGTTTTGTAAGAGAGATGAGGGTGGGGCGGACAGAGAATAGGAGGTACGCGTGAGGGTGGGTCGTGCCCCTCGGGAGCAGGACGACTGTATCTCTGTGTCTGGGGCACTGTTAGAGTGCCGGACCTGGAGTCAGCCCTCGGGATTTGTACAGCTGAATTGTATAGCTTTGGTTTTATATCTGGGAGAATTGCAGAGGAACATGTAGGGATTAAATGAAGAATGGCCATCACATAAAATTAGAACCACTCTTTAATTCTGTAGAGAAGAGCTTAAAGGTTTACAACAGTTACCTCCGGGGATAAAAGCGAAAGAACACGGTAAGGTGAGGGAGGAAGGAGTCCAGACAGGGGGTGGTTCATTTAGAGATGCTGTCTCTTCTCCAGCCAAATGCAGGACTCATCCAAAATGAATGTCCCTATGACCTGCCCTAAAAGGAAAGTTCCACTCGTGTGAAAAGTCTTGTGTAACTTGCTTTCTACATATTTTTTATGTTTTTGTTGTAAAATAGAAGGTCACGTGTATTGAAAGTTTCTGTACATTGGTTACTAATTAACTAACATGTAAATTGTATCATTTGTTAGTAAGTTTTAGCTGAACCTCACAACATTTATAATAAATGTGATATTACTATTTTTAGAAATTATGCCTATATGGTTCTAATTGGTAAGATGGTTGCACAGTAATCAGCAATATTAAATTTTCTTAGAGAAACTTTAAGTAAATAATTAAAATACTGCATCTACTCATTTGCCTCTTAAGGTTTAAGTAATTCTTAATGATAGAAGGAGTGATACCTTTTTATTTACAGATTATCTTACTTTTGGTTCCCGCAGAAGAAACAGATGAAAATGATCTGATCCTGGAGGTTACTGCGGGAGTTGGGGGTCAGGAGGCCATGCTGTTTACTTCGGAGATGTTTGATATGTATCAGCAATATGCTGCATTTAAAAGATGGCATTTTGAAACCCTGGAATATTTTCCAAGTGAAATAGGTCAGTGAAATGGTTAATTTGTTTTCAGGAAAGTGCAGATTTATCTACATGTGTCCTAGGGAAAGGGTTGGAAATACCAGGCTTTAGAATTTATTTGTGAGGATGCTTAAGTAGTTGTATGCTCATCATTTACTTCATAGTTTTGAATGTAAATATACCAATTTTGAAAGGGCCTATAAAATGTTAGTCATTCAGTACTAACCCACTGGGTAAATAATTGTCTTTTAAAAGTACTTTTTTAGACATGTTATTGAGTCAGTTAATACCATAAATGCTTTATGTCTGATAATTATAAGCAATAACATTAGTAGCATTGAAACACTGGTTATCAGACTTGTTAAAAGTTTTTCAGTATGTTTTACCATCTATAGGTTGTTATGTAGCTCTTTTAATGTAGCTCTTTTAAATACACCTCAAGATGGCTGAAGTGATAGTCAAATGTTTGTAAATGGGCAGATAAACAAAACATTCCGTTGTTCCAATATTTTCAAGGTGGGCTCAGACATGCGTCTGCCAGCATCGGGGGCTCAGAAGCCTACAGGCACTTGAAGTTCGAGGGAGGTGTGCACAGGGTGCAGAGAGTGCCGAAGACGGAGAAGCAAGGCCGCATCCACACCAGCACCATGACCGTGGCAATCCTCCCCCAGCCCACCGAGGTACGGCAGCAGCCCCCGTGGAACTCGGGGCCAGCACAGGGCCTTGCCCCCGGGGGAGCACTCGCCCTGCTGAATTGCGCCTCTCCGTTGCTTACTATTGGGCCTTCATCACATATTTTGAATTATTTTTGAGAATCTGGAGTCTCAGTCCAAAAGCATGGTTTTATAATAGATGGTAAGGATTAAGGACCTATAAATGATTTAATCATCCAGTGTCTATTAATTTCTCTCTACCACTAAGCTTTAAGTAGTTATATTGAGACCATCTCTATAGGACAGTATTAACCTACTTTAAATAGGATTTAAGACTATTTGCCTTTATAACGACTTTTTTGCTTTGTGTTGAATGGTTCTCAGAGTATCTATAATAGCAAGAATCCTATTTCAGTGGTTACTACTTCATAACCTAGTCACATTGAAATGGAAAAATACTGTTACAATGTTCAAAATGAGTATACTTTATTCTCACAAACAAAAATTCTCAGTTTATACATTATTTTCAAAATAACTTAAGAAGTTCTGCTTTGCTTACTTACATCCCTTCTGCTGAAAAGTGAAAAATATTTGACTTGCCTTTCAAAGTGATATATGAATGGTTTGAGAAGGAAGTTCAGCTGAGGGTTTCTCTTTATTAATTTCAGGGAAAACTGCAGTTTGACTGTCTAACAGGAGCCATACCTACCCAGATACTAGTCACTTTGGTTTAAGCTTCTTGGGGATAGGAGAAGGGAGTTTTAAATGGAAGATGGAGACTGAGGTCCACGTACCATCTCACTTAATTCTCCCAGCAGCCACAGAGAGGAGCCACGTAGGGAGACGTGGAGGGCCTCTGAAGGTTAGGGTTCCTGCCGCCAGGGTTGTGGGCACGCCGCAGAGTGGTCCACAGTTGTTCGTGACACGGAGCTGTTCAAATCTGGTGCTCCTGACGGCGCCTCCCAGGGCAGAGCGTTGTCCTGACATCAGAGCCGTGTATTTATGAATTGAGTCTTGGCTTGGTCTTTTCTCCTTGTCTCTCCTCTGCCTCCAAATATGTCTAGGTCCTCCTTTAATTCAAATTAAACAAAATAAGCCTTTCCTTTAGTTTTTAAACTAGAATTATTTTCCTGCCAAAGTCTTTTTGAACTCAGAAATATTCTACAAAATGTCATTTCAGTTCTTATACTTTTCTAATAATAATTTAAGTTCTGCTGTTATATGGTAAGAAGAAGGTGCTTTATAGAGAAGTCCAGTTTTTGAGGATTAGGGGGAGTTTGTTTTTGTAGTATATTTTTCTCTGCTGCACTTCCAAAAAGAAAAGTTTAAAAAAATGGTATCCTTCTAACTATTTTCTGGTGTTAAAATTAAACCTTCGATTAATCTTATAAATTCTGTACACAACATGAATTTATATTTATTGATAGATACTCCTTACCTGTGAACAGTTCATACATGTAAGTAATATTATTAAATCCCAGCTTTTCCTCTTCTGTGTAGATTAATCTAGTGATTAACCCTAAAGAACTGAGAATTGATACTAAGCGAGCCAGTGGAGCCGGGGGGCAGCATGTGAATACCACCGACAGTGCTGTCCGAATAGTTCATCTTCCAACAGGTATGTACCTGTTTACTCAATGTAAGACACTGAAGAAGGAAATCAAATGCTCAGTGACTTGATGAATATGCCACTGAAATAGATTGCCAGTTTCCAGAAGAATATATGCTAAAGGATATATACTAAGGATTTAGAATCCTTAGCTGAAACTTTGCAGGACAGTTGCAAAGCCAGGAAGGTGAAGGGATCTAAACGGGAATTTCCTGTTAGTGAATATGAAGAGAAAGTGTAGCTAGTCCTTCGGAGTAGCCTTCTCAAATTTATGTGTAGTAGATAATCACTATTTTAAAAAATCCTCATGGTAGAGTCATTATCATGGGTTCTTCTTTATCAGAAAATGCTCTGAATCACTGGTTCTTAGCTTTTTTTTTTGAACGGAGGACAAAGATTCCTTTGAAGAAATGAAAGCTTGGCCCCACTACCCAGAAACATGCTTATATGCAGAGTTTTACATATAATTTCAGGGGCTTTATTTCCAATAAGTCCATCCACAGACCTCCAGGGGTTCTGGTTCTAGATTGTTGGACAGTGGAGCTGTGTAAATATCTCCTAAGCCTTCACACTGTTAGGTGGAACTGCAGTGATCTGTGTGAGTGAGATAAAGAGCAAGTGGATAGCAAACCTGAGTTACCCAGAAAAGAGGATACAAGGATCTCTTGCAATGACTTATCTCTAATAGGCGTGATTCCCATTGGTCAGTAATGGTTGATGGGAGTGATGGATCGATGTGTTCTTGTTTTCTTAAATATGAGGACAGCTTCACGTTCAACTTTAAGATGCTTTATGTAATATATAATACATAAACTAGAGTAGGAAAAAAGGATGGAAATCCTCAGAAACATTAATAGTGATTATCTCTGATAATAGGATTAACTTTTTAATAATTTTTGTGTTGTTTCTATGATGATGATTTTTTTCCAGATTTTATATATTCTTAGAGAGGGGAAGAGAGGGAGAAACATCAGTCCTTTGCCTGTTATATGCCCCCAACTGGGGATCTGGCCCACAACCTAGACAGTGTGCCCTGGCCATGAATCTGACCCACACACTTTTGGTTTGTGGGGTGACACCCAACCCACTCAGCTGCAGCAGTCAGGGCTCTGAGTTACGTTTTTTAAAACTATGGTGGCTGGTTGAGGTACGGAGGCAATCTGTATTAAATGATTAATACTTATTTAGTATGTATGCCTTCAATGTGGAAATACTTTGCACTGTAGTTCAAACTTAAATTTTGAGTTTTCTGACAACTGTAAGAGTTATTTGTTGTCCTTTTATATTAGAATCCTATTTGTCTCCTCACAAAGGAAGAAGAAAAAAGATGAGAAGGTAAAGGACTATTGCTTGATAATAAAGGAAGAACTTTTTTACATTAAAATTCTGTCATTCTCATGCCACTGCGCAGGTGTTGTTTCCGAGTGCCAACAAGAACGGTCGCAACTGAAAAACAAGGAGACGGCCATGAAGAAGCTACGCGCAAAGCTGTACAGCGCGCGTCTAGAAGAAGAGACAAACAAAAGATACAATGCTAGAAAGATTCAGGTAAAACGGACTTGAAAAAACACTTCTAAAGGATCAACAACATGGTTTTAAATAACTCAGTTTTTATATATGCTACAATTGTTTCAATGTGTTTGTCAACATAAAACAATACAAGTAGCTCAGTCAAGGACTGTACTTGTTTTATAGTAATCTCACACTGTTTTTCTGTGTTCAAAGGCATTTTTCTCAGACTTTTAATGTTACTTAAAAAAGATATAGGGAGGCCCCATTCTGAAAATTATGGAAAAATGATGGAAAGCAAACTGAACTTTCTTCCTGTTATTTAGTAACTACAGAGACCTTTTATTAGTACTATATTAAGGGGAAATTCATCACTTTGTCCTCACCGGAGATGACTAAGTCACAGAGATTGTATATATTTAGTTACCACTTGAACATCTCTGTGCCAGGCGGTGCGTGTCCAGTGTCACTGTGCAGCAGGTGTTACTCGTCTGCATTCTACAGATGGGGAGACAAGTTCAGAGTCGAGATAAGTTGCCTGAAGTCGTAGAGCGCTGAAACGGCAGAGGGGACTCAGACACCAGCCCGTCTGCCTGTACAGCCCGTGTTCCTTTCTACTCTGTCATGTTCCCATGTTATTTGAGAAGTCATGTTAAAACTGGGTTCGAACATTGTGTTTCAAATGATAAAGCAAGAGCTTAATTTCCAGTTACGTTCAATTTATAGGATTAGTTGCCCTGGATCTAACTGTATCTCACATCTTTTCCATATAGGTTGGAAGTAAAGGACGGTCAGAAAAAATAAGAACATATAATTTTCCACAGAACCGGGTCACAGATCACAGAATAAACAAGTCACTTCATGATCTTGAAACTTTTATGCAAGGAGAATATCTACTGGATGAACTTGTACAGTCACTGAAAGACTATGCTGATTATGAATCTTTAATAGAAATTATTTCCAAAAAACTTTAAATTATTATTACAGACTTTTACAACTTATGAAAATTCTACTATAGCAAATCAGCGTATAAATCATCACCAGTATTGGCTTGAAAAACACGAGTGAACACAGTTGGAAGTAAGCATATTTTAAGACAGTTTATATAAATCATGTCTCAATGATGTATTAGTAAAAAATATACCTACAGTATAATCATGGCTCTGGTTGTATATTTTGGACTTTTCCTTAAAAATAGACAAAGGAAAGTCATTCTTTGTTTTATATAAAATACTGAATGATCAAAACTTGGTTTAACTATTATTAAACACTTCAAACATAATATAGCAGAAATACGATAGTAAATGCTGTATTAGTTCAGGTCTAGTCAGGAAACAGAAATTACACCATTAATTTTAACAGGGATAATTTTGATATAACTTTTTAAATGATGGGATTAGCTATTGGGGAGAACTTGAATGCACTAGGAGTGAGAGAGCATCCAAGGACAGAACACCCTTGGAAGGGGCTACCCTTCCCCCGAGGGGGAGGGGGCGTGGCTACAGCTGCGGCTGACAGACAAAGTCTCGGGCTGCCCCCAACCAGTGCGCGTCTGCAGGTGGCTCAGGCCTTGCAGAGAGCCCTCCGGCCCTCAGAGACTGATGAGCAAGAAGCCTTCCACCAGAGTGTCGGCAAAAGTTCTGTCTGCGTTCACCAGAGTTCTCCAAAGAAACAGAACCACTGGAATGTGTGTATGAGAGAGAAGGACTCATAAGGACGACCTGGGCCACTGGGTTATGGAGGTTAGCAGGTCCACAATCTGTAGTGGGGGTCAGCAGGCGGGAGGGCCAGCGGAGCCGACGCTGTGGTTCCCATCCTGAAGCAGCTGGCTGGTGAATTCTTTCTGGCGCAGGAGAGGCCAGTGTTTTTGCTTTTTCCAGTACTTGAGATTGGATGAGGCCCATCCCATTATGGAGGGCATTTTGCTTTACAGTGTTCACTGATTTAAGTGTTAATCTCATTTAAAAAAAAAAAAAAAACCCTTCACAGAAACAGCTGGAGTATGTTGACTAAACATCTGGGCACACTGTGGCCCAGCCAAGTGGACACGTTAAAACTAGCCAATAATCCTGTTTCCGAGAAAACTCGGGCAGTTGTGCCACGGAAACAGGAGGAGGAAGCACACTGGAAACCAGACAAGCCCCTTCCTGGGGTACTGTCTGTCCCTCCGCCACCACCTGCTGACCAAGCTTAATACGGTGCCACCTGGCAAAGGACAGCATTTGCAGGTCCAGGTTCTGTATCACGGAAGTCAGTCGAGTGAAGGGGGATTTGTTGCCAAGGGGCAACAAAATTGGTACATGGCACAAACACCCATACTCATTACCTAGTTTCAATATTTGATTTTTTTCATATTTGCTTAAGTGTTAGATATTAACACTTCACTCTTAAATATCTCGGCTTGCATTTTAAAAAATGACATTCTACTTCATTTACTATCATCACACCTAACAAGATTCACAGTAATTCCCTAATATCTTCAAATACCCAATTCCAATTTCCAAAATTCTCCCCAAAATGTCTTAATTGGTTTCTTTAAGCCAGGACTGGTGTCATTTCAGTGTTTCCTACAAAATGGAAGTTAGAGCCTAAGACTCATCCTCCCTTCCCTGGGACTTGCATTTTTGTTATTAAAATATACCCTCAGATAGTTAGGTTTGAATGCTCTGATGTGAGATGCAACAGATTTTCTGGTGAGTCAGATGAAATCACCCCTGTGAACTGAAAAGAATTTACCGGTAAAACTGAGCTTACAACTACATTGGTGTGAGGCTGTATCAATGTTTCTGCCATTAGATTTAAAAGAAATTAGTTGCTTCTCTTCCGATAGGAATCCTGGATATGATTAGCTCTTTTCTGAGAAGAGTGAGTCCAGACATCTGGGCCTGAGTGGAAGGAAAGTCCAGGGACGTCTGCTTGTGGCTGCATAGTTGTTAAAGACCTTGGGGTTGAAAGCCACCTCGAATACAGTGATGTATTTGTTAAGGAAACAGGAGACACCCCATGGTTCCCCCACGGTGTGTGTGCTCCTTCGCTGCAAGGAGTAGTAACAAACTCAACCTGTCTGACAAAAAACATAAAGGAAAGAACTATAGGACATGTCAGTTATCCCATTAAGAAGTGAGAAAAGCCAGGAATGCTCAAGAATTTTTTTAAAACATAGGGTACTAAGGACTACTATTGTAAGAGTTCTACCTAGTGGTAATGAAAAAAAAGTTAAATTTACAGAATCACAAAGTAAGATTTCCAGAGAAAACAATTTTACTACTAAGGTTTTAAGATTTTAAAACATTAAGGAATTAGGAGGCATTTTGTTAAGTCCCCAAACTGCACACTTTTCCACATTTGTTGGAAATCAACAGTAGTCTGAATTCTTGAGCCTATGTTCTAGTATATTCAAAACTATATTATTGTTGGGTAATGGGTTTCCTTAACTCAACCTTTATTATTCCCTTAAAAGCCTCCGCTTGTGCTAATTTTCAGAGTAATTTTATACTGATAACTTATTCTCTCACCTTATGACTTTCTAAGGGAAGTGTAATCAAGTTAAAAAAACATTAAAGACAGGTTAGAATTTAAAGCTAGCCAAAGATTATCAAATATATCAAGAGAACTTCCATTAGAAGAGGATCTCTCTCCCTGGAATCTTCTGCTCATGAAAGGCACTCTGCCCTCCCAAGAAAAGCTGATGAATGCACCTTTCAGTGACCTACGCAACTAAAGGACACAGCCAGACACGTTCAGTCGACCACATTCGGTGCCCACCCGCACAAAGCCCAGCCCAAGCCCACATCCCAGATTTATCACCTTCCTCCTGGCTCCTGCATTTTCCTTTCTGAATAAAAATCTGTTGGTTTTAAAAATTTCAACGTACTATTCATTTTTCTTTAACTCTTCTAACAGGCAGTAATTAGGAAAGTTGGATTGAGATTGTGAAAGGTCTCAAATACTGTATTTCATTCCGTAAGCAAGGAAGAGACAGTGAAATTGACTTACTTCCCCCATCCTGCTCTGCTCCCTCACTCCCGATCCAAAGTGAAACGGTATGAGAGCTACACTAATAAAAATGAAAAAGAACTTTGCATCAATTTTTAAATTTCCTCTCTATTAGAACCTCATAGTATTAAAAAATCGTAGTACCTAGGTAACTTTAACAATATGAATTTAAGGTATGTATCGGTAGGTGCGTTATGAACACATGCAGACAAATTGACAAATCCTGGTCCGTGAACGGACACTGGCTCCCACTTCACTCACTAGTCTCCTATAGTTATTCCTAGGTGCTCATATGTAATTTTTGGAACCCAGGAAAAGGGTTGAGCAGTGTAACTTTGGCATGAAGTCTACTGGGACCCTAATTCTAACATTTTAAGAGCCTTGGGGTTTTGTAACTGTTTGCACAAACAATGCATCTACACAGCTACCTTAAGCATAAACCATGCACTGTCGTCACCCCTACTTGTTTATGCTGCCCTTCTCTGCCTGGAAAACAGTGTTTACCTCTGCAGACAGATTTCAAGGTCCAACCTAAAGGGCACCTTAGCACCTAGGCAGAAGAAATGGCTTTCATTGGTATTCCATAGAAATTTACCATACCTGTATGACAAGATTTATGGCAAGGGAATAAACTCACTGGTGTTCTCCTGTCTCAGGACTGCGTGCTTAAGAAAGAGATGGGAAAGGGTGAGTCAGGGAATGGACCAAACTCATATTGCTAGACCAGCCACACCACCTTAGTAGTAGACAAAACTCTGTTCTTCATTCTCGTCTCTCCTGGACCTAACATTATGCCATATAATATGCCCCACGGAGATGTCTAAAAGGTTGTTGTAAATGAAATGTTTCTCTAGAAATCTGGTATTGCTGAGAAAAAAAACTAAATTTCAAAATGGCCTACAACCCTAGTTAATCAAGTCATTTGGCTAGAATGGGAATTTTGAAGATGTATGAACAGGTAATCACACCGTTTAAAATGAAACTTGTCATATTCCTCTATAACCCATGTCTCATTGCGTGATCTCAATTTCTTGAATGGCATAACTATTCTCCCGCTCTCAGATGTAAAGTGTAGTCCTCTCCGATTCCTCTTCCTCACATGCAGTCCACTGCTAACCCTACTCTCCTCCTAAACACTCTGTTCATCTCTGACTCCATTACCACCACTCTGGTCCAGAATTAACTCTCTCGTGGACTATTTTCGTAGTCCCCTGACTTCTCGCTACATCCTCTATCGGTAATTCAGGTTGCATATACATAACCCCAGGCTCATCTTCCTGACAAGCAAGGCTCTCATTCTGTCACTCCCGTGCTCAACAGCTTGATAGGTTCCCACGGCCGCTCACATAAAACTCCAATTCTTATATGTGCATAGACATCTATATCTGTATCCAGAATTGTATCAGCCCATTTTATACACCACCCCCTTAGGCCGTATCAAACTACATAGTTTTTATTGACAAATGCACCTGCATTTAACGTTTCCCCACTTTGCTTCTTATGCCATGGAAGACCTCCCTCCTCTCCACTCCCTCAAAAAGCATCCCCTACACTAGTGGTTCTCACCTACAGGCAATCTTGCTCCTGGGGGACATTTGGCAGTGTTGGGAGACAGTTAACACAAGTGGATGGGGGGAGTTACAGGTTAAGAATGTTACTAAATATCCTACAATGCACAGACTGGCCCCCCACAACCTGGCCCAAAATATCAGTAGGGCTGAGGCTGACCTGTCATATACAAGTAACTTTTCTATTCCATATAAAGTCCTACTGGAACCAGATGTATGTAACTACCCAATGTTACCTTGTAGCTATATTTTATATGCCCTATCTCTCCCCCCTTGGGCCCCCAAATAATCTTTTACTCTAAGATTATTTACTGAGCATCTCATATCTATTAGGTTGCAGGCCCAAATGTTAAACACAAGGACAAGTACCACGTTCCAATTATTTTCATATGCTTCTTAATGTTTAGAAGCTGTAGGCAGTAAGAATTTCCTATAAGAATGAAGGCGATTCTCTCTGCACTCTATTTGTACCTAAGAACTCAACAATTCTGACTGATACTGATTTGCAGGAAGAGGTATCTGCTAACATCTTATAAAATTTAGAATAGCCCTTTACAAGTTTCTTATTAAAAATGAAATTAACAGGAGCTC